CTAGGAAATGAAATCTGTCTGATCTAATATTTCTCCCTCAACAACTCTCCAAGCTTGAAAAAACTTATTTATCAGGCCCACGTAGGAACTGGTCTCAAAAGCGCTGAAAGCCGTGTTGCGGGAACAAATGCGCTTGTTACTTGTTGGCGAAGGTGTCCAGATTCTAGTGTTCTAAATGTGATTGAGAAGCTTCACTCCAAACTGGGATACATATGTCGTTTTGGAAATGAAGGTTGATAACTGCAACCAATTTCTGATTCATTTCCGAACAACCTGATGTGAACTAGTGCCTCAAATTTTGTTTCAGACTGCCGAAGAAGCGATGGCAAGCGCAGAAGCAGGCGGGTGACTCTCCCGCTGTGGATTCCCTCCCTTCAGGTTGATTAGTCATTATTTGAATACTTTTTCGATAACATTATTTTCGATGAACTCATCATTGTTCGACATTAATTTAGTTTCTGATACGGAACATGCACATGATTCTCCCAAACAAGTATTTTCCCCTCCAATAAGTTTGCCGGAGAGCACATCAACAGATGGAACGATTGAGAACGAGAATGTAGGATTTGATCCCTTTCCTTCATCTGCAGGTCCTCAAAAAGATCTTTTTAGGGTTTATCCAGTAGCGATGAAGACAGTCAACCAATTCCTATCGAACGCTCCAACAATCCGCCATCCACTTCTCCCCTCAACAGGTGGCTTCATCGCTAAATTTCTCCTTTTTTTACTTTTTTCTCAAATGCAATAACATTTTTTTCTATCAGTTTTTATTTCCACGCTTTCGTTAATTTCGAAAAACTTGTACTTGCAGTATTGTAGTGAAGTTAAAGATCTACTTCTCTTTTGTTTTCAGTGCATTCAGCACCGCAACTCTACGCTCCTCACAGTCTCCTCAAACCGGTACTGCTCGTACGTCGTCCACGTTCGATTTTGAAGACAATGACGATTCGCCACCACCCTCCGTCAAAAGAAGCAAAATTTCACCACCGCCTTCCTGTAGGTTGACATCACAGTTGAACGAGTAACCTTCCTTCATGGTCATATTTACCTTCATCGACTGCAGTGCAGCCATCCTCTTTACTTCAGCGCCTACAAAGATTACCGCTCCTAAAGAACGCCGACCAGTTTATCAACATAAATGGACGGAAGACGATGATGAGGAAAGTGAAACAGGCAGTACTGAAGCATCAGATCTCAGGTCAACGTCTAGTGCGAGTGCCTCTTCAGGTACAATGCCGCAGGTGAGCCCATCATGATTCCTACCTTCTGGTAATTAGCTAATTTACCTAACTGAAATGCGATGACATTAGATATTGACAAGGAAATGTTTCGAACTTCCATGGAACTTTGGAAGGAGACCTAGACGTATCGATAGTCTTGAACGCTGATTACAAATATGGACACTAAAACTGCTACGTGAACTTCCTAAGAAAGTTATGAGCCTTCAAAGTTGGCAAAAAACGTTACTGAGGCGAGCTTACCTGGTGGAATCACAGTCGCCGTGGCTCTGCGCCAAAAACGAGTCTCATATTCGTAATCAGGGCACCCATTTACCCTTATAGAACAAGTTCCAGGCAAAAAGCAACCATGTTTCCACATAGGTTAGCTTACAACTTCCTTACAAAGTTCACGTAGCGGTTTTAAATGCACATATTTGTAATCAGCGCCGAAGACTATCGATGTACTCAGGTCTCTTTTCAAAGTTCCGTGTGAACCTCAAAGCATTCAATGGTTGGTGATGATCTAGAATAAAATTCCTCAGTTGCTATGATCTGGGATTTCTTTCGCATGCGGCAGTCGCACCTTTAGGCCGATGTCAGACTTTGCGAATCGCGCGATTCGCTAGCGTCTGCGGTCGCGTCGCGGCCAGTGAATCACTCAATTGGCTGGTACCGCAACGCGACCGCGGACGCTAGCGAATCGCTAGCGAATCGCGCGATTCGCAAAGTCTGACATCGGCCTTGAAGTGCATGCCGAAATTTTCAAAAAAACCCGAATACTCTTTTTGCGCTGGAGCTGAGCTTAATCAACTTTAGTTGATATGAGTGATATGTGTGTCAGTCATTGCTGTGGTCTTGATATTGTGGGTGCCAGGCTGAGTGATTGCACATACGCGGCGGAACCCCTCCCCCACCCTCCCTATGCCAAATCGAACACCCACCTACTGAACTCTTTTCGACGCATCTTTTCCACCCACAGTTCGTGTCAACTGTGATACATATAAAAGATATAGTTAACATCATGCACGAAGTTCGTTTGATTTTCAGTATCATTCATTTGTGGTAAGGTTAGTTAACCGGAACAGGTAATTTCCCGTGGTTTTCATATCCTTAAGGGTGAAGTATACCCATAATTTTCTTTTTATAGCGAAATCGATCTACGCAAAAAAGCAATAACCGAGAGACAACGTGTTTTGTTTGGTCGAGTTAAAGAGGCAACACCCAGTGTCTGGAGTCCGGTGCTGAAACGGGCGGATCACAGCAGATATAGATTATTATTTTGCAAGCCTATGAACAGGAACGGCACCAGAGTATTACTATCAATGTTTAGGATACAAACATTATATTTCGGCTGAATTAAGTGTCAACTTTTAGCAAAGCCTTACAGAAAAGACTTACCTTTTCGTATCTTTTCAGCGCCTTGTCTCTTGCGAGGAAATGCATATCTTCCGAATTCCGGCAATTTGTTCGTAGTGAAGGTCTTATGTCAAACGTGTTCAAAGGTCTGGCAGAGGCTGCGAATGACCAGGTGGGTTATCAATGTTAACGAATTACCAGGTTTTTTTTTCGCGTGCATCGCTCTTGTTTCAATGTTGTTTCTTTTTAGAATCTTGCGCTTTGCGCCGCTACTGTCATTTATCTCATGTCTCGTGACTTTATTTCGCTTGCAAGTTGACGCCCATTCGCTTCGATTGTTTTCACAGTTACTTCGTATCGAAAAGATGGAGCAGAATTATAGAGGAGAGCGAAAGATATGGCTCTACTGGTGAGATATGCTTTTTTGTTTAGATTTCTTTCTCGACTCCTCAACAAATGGCAACCATCACTTCCAATACGTCATGGTGATATTTCAAAAGATAACGTTAGACCTCGGTCAGACTCGGCGATTGCGTCGCTGGACACCAGCGACGGAGCCGCCAGCGACGGAGCCGCCAGCGACGGAGCCGCCAGCGACGGAGCCGCCAGCGACGGAGCCGCCAGCGACGGAGCCGCCAGCGACGGAGCCGCCAGCGACGGAGCCGCCAGCGACGGAGCCGCCAGCGACGGAGCCGCCAGCGACGGAGCCGCCAGCCACAAGAGTGGGCAACGGGCGATGACTCATCACACGATCGATATCGGTTGGCAGGGGGGAGATTAACCCTTTGACGACAATGCGGATTTGGACGTAGCGTGCTCAGAAGGGACCAGATCTCGCTCGCGGCTAACCGCCCCGCCGCCTCTTTTTGGCGCGACCAAATCTTGCTCAACATTGTGCAAAATTTCCCCTGAACGCAGTTACTACACGGCGGGCATAAATGAATATATATTGGACATATATTTCCACTGAAATCACTACTTTGTCCCGTTTCGTATTTTTTTCATGATTAAGAGGACATATATAGTGAATATGACAGAAAAGTGTTGCTAAATGAAAAAATGATAATGGCCATAAAAGGGATAAGGCAGGAATGAAAACTGCTCAAAATAATTGTAATGGGGGAAAAGGGAGCGGGAAGTGTCCGAAACGTTTGAGTTTAATCGCATCAGATACGACATACAGGTAGTGTCATAAATTCTGTTGTATGAAGAGTTTTAAAATGATTTATAACTGTTTTTGCTGAGCTCAAAGTGGACATCCGTTTAGTATTTAGTTATTTTAGGGACAAGTTTGAGGTTGAAGTCATGAGAAGCTAATGTTTCTCGGTGACGTACGACATGAGTAATCGTCCACTAGCTATGTACTATAGGGAAATGGAAGAACAGACTATCCAATAAAAAAGCTTTTTCATGTGTGCGAGAAAACACGTTATCCATCTTGGGAAAAATTGTACTCCTTCTGTACCCAAGTACAACACATGTTCCGCCCCTGCCAACGCCCGGATACCTCGATCCACGTGCTGATGAGTCGAACCTCGCCAAAACGCGTCTGCCCACGCATCCGTGACGTTTGCGCGGCTCCTCGTCGCTGGCGGCTCCGTCGCTGGCGGCTCCGTCGCTGGCGGCTCCGTCGCTGGCGGCTCCGTCGCTGGCGGCTCCGTCGCTGGCGGCTCCGTCGCTGGCGGCTCCGTCGCTGGCGGCTCCGTCGCTGGCGGCTCCGTCGCTGGCGGCTCCGTCGCTGGCGGCTCCGTCGCTGGCGGCCTCCCGTCGCTGGTGTCCAGCGACGCAATCGCCGAGTCTGACCGAGGGCTTATATATTTTTCTAAAACTTGTGTCTTAAGAATCTATGGGATGTCTTTCACATACTCTTACATAGACGATGGAGTCGTATGGGAGAAAATTGTATTCCGATCTCACGCAAGGAAGACAACGATGTGGAACGGTCGATTCCTTTTTGGTTCACCAGTCATGATGTTCTCTCGAAGGTCTTTGAGTCGCAAGTCCTTTCTTTAGCCAATAACAGTATCCCTGAAACTTCCGTGTTTAGAGGCACCTGATTGGTTTTTGTTATCTTGCAGTTGTAGCCGATGATCAGAGTATCAATACTAGCGACTACCTCAAATCTTGGTATTACTTCAGTGGCATTGTAGGAAAAGGTACGAATTTCAACTTTCTGTGCTAATATGTAACTTAAGAATTCTGACATTCATTCAATTTGCTCTTCAACTTGTCAATACACTAGCCAGTGTTGTCCAACCTTTTTTTTGGTTTTCAACGAAAACTTTCAATCATCTCCATAGTCTATATTCGAAAATTTTTGTAGTTATTACCTCAGGATCTCCTTTTTGTGCCCATGATCTGTGGTGCTTCAGATTCTAAGGCTTTGAATAATGGTTTACCCGTAGATTGCGTTTGGTTTTGCTGATGGTTAAAGTGCAAATTATTTTGGCTGTTGCCTACTACCAAATGCCTATGGTCCATAGTTGTGGAAGACCTAATCCTAGTCCTAAATTAGTTCCTTCCATACTGTCAGTTTTAGTTGAGAAAATCGTGCTGAGGCTTCTGCACGATAAGCTGAGCGAAGACGAAACAATACAACAGCTTGTCGTTTTGGAAAGATGCTTCAGGATTCTGGAATCGGTAAGCAGTTACCAAGTTTTTCAATTATGATGAATTTTCTAACAAATTTGTTAAGAGTACCGTGTTTCACAAGAAGAATCAGGCCTTCCTCATCTCACATCGCGGAAGTTTGCTGATACAAATGTGTGGGAAGTAGGTCTACAATTCTAGGCTTAAGTTCCCTCATTCTCTTTCCGTTCGCTTGCGTGAGATTGACCGATGCGATTGTAATTTAGATTAATGACTATCATACATGAAACAATTAGTAATTGTGCTGTCGGATCGCAGCTGGCTCGCTCCCATATAGCTTGTCTATCCTTGATGGCTCGAGTGCTTATGAATCTTTCTCACGAAAATGGTTAGTTTCCGTACTGCACAGCTTAATAGCTAAAGTTAATTTTTGTCCTCAGGCTGTAGCTGTCTGCAGGTTGCTAGCAAAGTTCTGCTTCACCATCTTCTTTTTCAGAACTTTGTTGTACCAAGCTGGGACAGGTTCCGGGTTTTCTTCCACTTTGTCTCTCATCGTACACATTCCTTGCACCCAAGTTCGCGCCGGAAGATAAGAAGTTTGACCTATATGTGATGGTAAGTGTACAAAATTTCTTAAATGCTGATTTGCTATCTGTTCCCTGGCTCGATTTTTTCATCTTTAAGATGACATCGTTGTGTGTCAATTTGGTCGAGAGGTGCAACTCAAATCGCCGAAAACTTATCGAGACCACTGTAAAAGTTCACGCGGAAAATGGTGAAGATACCGAGCACAAAGCTCTCGATGCGCTTGCAATTGTAAGACTGTACAATATTATGCGATCTCTTCATACCAAGCTTGTACTTACATGAGTTTGTCATTCTATTTTGTTCAGTTGTTCACAGTTCACGAAGCGAAAGCACGGAATATTGATGAGGATTTGGATAAGGATTTAGCGTTTGAGGTGTGTCAAGGAGCTTTCCCCTTCTGAGACATCACGCATGTTAATCGGCTTTTGCAGGAACCTGTTGATGAGGAGACCAATGACACTGATGAAGAAAGTAGAGACGATGGGCGATTAGATAGAGGGAAGTTGAACGAGATGAATGAGAGTGAGATGTTACAGGCAGTACAAGATGCCATGAGCAAGGTATAGGTAGATAAAGATAACTGCAGATAAATCATAAATATGATATTGGATTTGAGGCTTCCGCGCACATGGAGGACAGTGTTGTTGCTTCTTACGTCGCTCTTCTGATCGGTTGCTTACTGCAACAAAATGAGGTACCTTTTATTTTGATTACCTTGTAGCACATCTGCATCCCTTCGTTTGCACTTCAGTTCTTTTTTTTATTTCCTTTGGTTTGTTATTTATTTCCAATCCTTCACATGTATTTACTTTATCATTATATTTCGTTCGCCTTGCCCTGCACTCGAGTATTGGACATTTCCTAACTGCCGTGTACAATGCAAAGTTTTCCACGGTGGAAGTTTGGCATGGAGCAAGGAGGGGGGGGGGACAATAGGAGCAGCAAATCGACCATCTTTAAGAGGAAACTTAAAGGAATCTTCCACGGAAAGAGTGATCATTTTGTCTTGTGTGGATTAGTATTATCGAAACTAACGCTTATGTTCCGTTCTTTTTGCTATGCTCATGAGGCTAGGGGCCTAAGGGGTATCGTTTTTCTGTGGTAATGGAGGCGGAGCTTTTTCCGCGGAAGATTCCTTTAAGGCAGTGAGATATGATGCTCAGAAATGAGGTAAATGATTGGGGGCCCGGATGGGGAGAACAAGACATGTTGCTTCATGACGCCGGAAAGGCACCAACAGTCATGGTCTGCTAGCCTACCCGACCCCACGAGGTGGGTAGTGGGCTATGGCGTCCAACGTGATATGCCATCCTCGTAATCGTGCGGCCATGTCACACAGAGACGGTATTCGGTTCAAATTGCTTGGAAACTCAAATTGATTAGGTTACGTTAGGCCTAAAGGGACTATGTCGCTCCATATTTCAAGGAAGAGAGCCCGGAAAAAGGGGTAAGAATGGAGTAGTCGGAATGCTCCGTAACAACGTAACCGCAGAGTTCTCTCTATTGTTCGATTCGTTTTCTTTAGTATTTTATTGTGTGGGTGTCTAGCGACTAGCTCACATAGCATTGCACTGCGGTGATACATGTGAAGAAAACGGAAGCAGCTCACAGACGGCCATCCCACGGCTCCCTGTTTTGCGTACAGATCGCAGGCATTACAGGACAATAGCAATAGCGGATCGATAGCACGGGTTCTCGTTGGCGTTTTCCCGGTTTGACTCGGCTGTCGTCAATAGTTCAGCATCGCCGTCGAAGCATTTACAGAGCTAACCGTAATACGTCGCTCAACAAACAAAAAAACGAGTGTGCAGAATGAGTGCTCGTACATTTTTTTAATCATTACGTTACGAATTCTTTGATACTTTTTATATTTTATAAAATTTATAAAATTTTATATATTTTCCTCATTATTTCATGCTCATTATTATCAGTTCAAACATATTACCAAAAAAAGTGGGCAAAAGTTTTTATTTGTGAGATCACAGTGGTCATGAGCCGCTGATAAGGCGAGAGAGCGCAGACGAAAGCGTCGAGTGAGGCAGCTTAAAGCAACAGTCCCAGCAGGGTGGGCGTGGTCGGAAACGACTGCAATCCCCTCGGCCGATTCCGACCACGCCCACTTCAGCTCCCTCCCTAGCGGCTTTCCAAGGTGAGTTTTTGTTCAGTCACACTTCTTACGTTCTTGACTAGGGGCTGAACAGCTCCGAAGTGGGAATCGGCCGAGGGGATTGCAGCCGTTTCCGACCACGCCCACCCTGCTGGGACTGTTGCTTTAAAGGATCGAGTTCGAGTAGTTCGTCGATGGGGATTGTAGCCGCAGAACAGTGGAGTGACAGAACAGCGCAGAAGTTCAGTGGGCCGGCAACACTGCACGTTTTCATGGGTGCAAAACTCAGGATACCAAAATCATGATCATAATATATCGTGAATTGAAAATCCTTCACGATAATTTTTAAATGGATTATCTAGGTGGTCATTACATTCGCTTACAATACTTTGGACTCACTTCGCATACTTTCATATCATGAACTTAAGAGCTGTAATGTTCTCTTCAGGGTCACGCAGCAATTGTGCGTTCACATCTTCAGGGTGGTTCATTTGCTACAATGATTGATCAATTACAACGCTTCTTGGATTTCATGAAAATAGCGGTGGGTTTTGTTTTGATTTATTGCCTCATCATTTATTTTGCTTCGCCCGCTATCGCGCGCATCACACGGCAGGCTTTAGCGAAATTGGAGGACCCATGGAATATCAGCATGAGATACTCCATTAACCATCTCACTATTGACTGTGTTAGACCCTCCACAGTTTCACTGAAGCTCATCGAGAATACGCGTGATAACGTCTGAGCTGAACTGCGTTATTATGATCACAAATCGCTAACACTCCACTTGTTTCTCGAATTGGCTAAAGAATCATTGGGTAGCGGTGAGTGGTTGTGTTCAGTTCGAAATCAAAATGGAAATATGCCTGTTTACATAAGTGAGGAGCTAATGCTTATCATTTTTCATTCATCATTATTTAGAACCACGAAAGGATTAGCGGTTTAATGAGTTTGGGTTTTCTTAATAGTCAGAAATGAAACTTATCATTTGCTGAAGACTTGTTTTTAAAGTTTATGCAGTCGAATTCTATTAAGTAAGCTGGATATATATCGAAATAATGTGCACGTACCTTTGTTTGTACTACTACGACTTACTACAATTTGTAAGTAGGAACGCTCTCGTGTCAGCGCGAGCTGCGTAACGAAACTGACGACTTTTGCGTTCTGACGCGCCTTATCAGCCCTTATCAATCGTTATCAGTTTCTGGCACCCACCAACAATGTCCCCGTCCCACCCCACATAACACTTGTAAGTATGGTTGCTCTGGTGTCAACGCGAGCCAGGCAACGGAATCGACGACTTCAGCGTTCTGGCGCGCCTTATCGGCCCTTATCAATCGTTATCAGTTTCTGGCACCCACCAACAATGTCCCCGTCCCACCCCACATAACACTTGTAAGTATGGTTGCTCTGGTGTCAACGCGAGCCAGGCAACGGAATCGACGACTTTTGCCTTTGGCGATCTTATCAGCATATGTTATCAGATCTTTATTCGGGGCACCACGCAACAATGTCCGTCCGCACCCCACGTGAATACTGTGTACGTAATGGCGTTGCTCTTGTCAACGCGAGCCAGGCAACGGAATCGACGACTTTTGCGTTCTAGCGCATCTTATCAGCCATTATCAGTTGCTATCGCTTCCAATCATGTACCACCAATGTCCCGGGACCGCCCCACATAAGACTTGTAAGTATAGACGCTCTTTTACCAATATGAACGGCAAAACGAAATTGGCGATGCTCGCTTTCTAGCCCCTCTTATCAGCTATTATCAGTCGTTATCAGTCCCTATCACGTACCACTTAATAACATATGTAAGAACCACTGCGCTATCGTTACTGTGACTCGAGCTATGAATTTCCGGTCAAACACACACACACACCAACAGACACACGCTAGCATCTCATATATAGTAGGATTTTGCGTTAAAACTGTGCGGCTAGTTGTCGCTTAAAATTCTTGTTCCAAATTGTATGTTTCTTGTGTAGAGTTAGGCTGTCAGCCGGTTGACAGAACTTGCGAGGTGCATTTCTCAAATAATTTCTCGTCTTTTTCAGAGTAAAAAAGCTGGAGGATGCAGATCGATTGAGCGCATCATCGATTTACTGGATAGGTTGAATTGAAAGTTCTGCATTTGCTAAGTATTTATGCCAAACCCATGAACTCGTTTGCGATATGTTCTCATTTCTACAATATTTTAGTGATTGTTTACTAACGCGGAGATTTCTAAATTTCGGGATGCTCTTACTGTACATATGCGTTTCATAGCTTTCCCTGACCTTTCATCTATGGATTTCATTCACTCTTATGGTTGTCATATGTTGTCGAATTTTATACTTCGGTTAACTTGATACGGCTTGTTTTATTGAAATGTTTTAGCAGCTCTCTGAATACTATTTTCACAATGTAGACTAGTTATATGATGATATGTTGATTACATCAGTTGCTCTGATCTGAACTTCCGATCTAGCGAAACTTTTATGCTACATCGGTGTTGTCTGTGCTATATATGCCCCAACCTTGATTTTCCGGTCATTTCCAAAGAAGATTAGAAGACTTCACAGTATCTTGTGCAATTACCGCAAATAAAGTTGATGACAGTGTTGGAGATGAGAGGTGCAGAATAAAAGCCTGCAAGGTTTGTCGCTTGGCAAAGCCAAAAGGGCATTCCGATGTGCCGTATCTAGGCTTATGAATGGCCGATGTCAGACTTTGCGAATTGTAGGATTGTGCAACCAATTGCAGGAGCGCGGGGATTTAGGCATTGTTCATAGTTTTGGAACCATCGGAATATTCGAATCTGCGAAAAGAAAAAGATACGTATCGACCAGGTGAATCCGCGCACGCGCGAACGCGGATGCGAAAAGGTTTAGATACGTATCGACGTAGTAAACCACGCCCTATTAGCGTTGCTAGAGGATTTTCGCACCGCCGTTTCGATGCTGCGATCTCCGATTGACTGATCGATAGACACTAATTCCTTTTAGAGGATTCGCAGATTCCAATGCGCGATTCGAAGCTCCTCCCATTTTGTGGATCGATACGCATTTCATTCATTTCGCATTTGCGCAGATTCGTTCGGTTCGAGCGTCCTCCTCTCGTGGCGCAAACTATGAACAATGCCTTACACGGCCGACCACCGATAATTCGGCGCCATCAGCTCGTAAATCTCCCGTCGCTCGCAGCTCCCTGCCACAACGGCCAAGGAGGCACATCACGGCCCGAGCGATGGATCGCTTGAGCGATCCGTCGCTCCAAAGTGCGAGCGACGGGAGATTTACGAGCTGATGGCGCCGAATTATCGGTGGTCGGCGGTGTAAATCTCCCGTCGCTCCTGCAATTGGTGCACAATCGCTCCAATCGCAAAGTCTGACATCGGCCAATAAGACTTCTTTGTTGGAGCATGGTTGGGCTCCAGGCGTGACGTAGTGTAACGCTTTGAGCTTCAAAGCAGGTTGTCATTTCAGATCGAATACCAAATTTCTTTTTGGACATCGAAGGTAACATGACTAAGGAGGTCGAGGAGATGCGCGAGTCCTTTTTTATGCTCTCTGTAACGATGAAACTTCGCCTTCAATCAATTCCTGTAACTGGCTGGAGAGACCCCTAAGGGGGAAGCGGAGAAGTATTACGAGCATTGGGAATGCTCTTTTCGACATTACAGATCGGTGTGAACAGTGGTTTGCTTGAATGGCCACAAGGGGCTAACTCTGTGTTATTTTTTTGTCTGAATACAGATGCATCTATTTTGACTGGTGAACCCTGAACTGGCGGCGTGGCGGCTTCGGCGAGGCTCGGTGATAAATGGGTAAGGGGATAAAAAGAGCTAATCATTTGTTCACGTGAGCCCCGTTTTGCCATAATTCTACCTCTATTCTGGATCGTGGTGGCATTTTGAATGCAATCTGTTTTATACATCGATTTGCGGGCCCAGCCGAGGTGCAGTTCAGCCCGTTCTATCTTTTGAGACAGTGTGGTACTGAACGAAGTCTAACCGCCGAGTTTTGAGAAGGTTGGTTTGGTCGGCCCCGACGGCCAGGATCTTGCTCCCCTACTACTCAACTCAAAAAATATAATATCATCAAAGACTTCAACCGGGGTCAAGCGTGCATTCAGCCGATTTCAGAAACTTTACGTGTCCCCTGTCTCCGTTCATCCAGGGAGAGCTTTGATACTGGAATCATCGGGCTTCGGGGAGTCCCCTCATGCGCACCCCATACGAGCATAGTTAACCCGTTCGGTTTACGGACTACTTGATTTTTCCTCAATGGTCCTGCCGCGATGGCTAGAGCACAGACGATTAGAGAATGCCCTAGGACTAAGCCTTGGAGAGGAGAGGGACCCGCTAGAGAGCGCAGAGGCGGTAAAGGGCTGAGTTCAAGTAGTCCGTCAACGCCAACGTCCACGGGGCGCATTGCAGATAATTTCAATGCTCTAAAGGATTACGTGGCTTCTTGAACTCTCCTATATGTTCTTTATCGGAAAGGACCGAAGCGCAGACGGAGCGAGATGGCTTCGATTATTACCGTCAGACTTGCAAATGGTACAAAAACAAAGCAACCATACGGTCAAAAGGAAATTAAAAAGCATTGACATACTTGCCTTATTAGACATCAGTGAGTTCAAACAATATGTGACTGAGAAACTTCCCGCGGGTGCGGAAATCGTTTGCTTAAAGGACGAATTCACGCTGGAAAGGCAACCCATTTCAAATTAAGTTAGCGATGGTGAGTGGTACACTAAAGAAGGAAAAACCATGAGAAACGGCCCAGAACCCGAGAAATGGGACCCTTCCTTGCCCGTTGATTTGAGCATTGATGCGACTATCATCGCTGTGCTCTCTTCAACACTACGCTCTCTCACCTATCTAATCACTCGCCACGCATAAACCTACGGCGAGCTATCAGCTGGTTGGTGGGCGTGCACTGACCAGCCGCGGCGGGATTAAACCTTAATAGGTCAACGAGGTCAACTCCTCCTGTGCAAATTGTGCTTCAGTTCGCACACTTAGGAGCTCCGCGGGTCCCTCAACCAGGTGAATTCTTCCTAATTCGATTTTCCCTCTGATCGTGAATTCGTCCTTTAAGTGGAATTTTAAAGCTTATGTTCTGAAGGGCTGGATTTGGTTTTCGGGTTAATCATTTGTTAGCGCACTCGAGTAGTAATAATAAATAAGTATAGTAGATGCTAATAAACGCACCTGTTAGTAGTAAATAAATAATAAATTAAATAAATAAATAAATAAAATAAATAAATAATATAAAATAATTTTTTCTTTAGTCGCTAGTCGCAGACAGTTTGGTTTCAGCATAAGAGTATATGGGCTCCCACTAACCATAATTCCTTTCAAAAAAAGTGTTGGCAGTGAAGAAATATTGTTCAAACAATTGATAGTGTACTTTCGAGAAATCAGTGAAAGTTTCTTGACAGTTATCCGTCAGAAAATCTCGTCTTAGTGAATTTTTAACCCATCCTATTATTGCAATTTTCAACATTTTACCTTGATCTGAAAACATCGGCATCCGTCTAAAACAATCTTTCCGCTCGTGTTGGATCACTCTGGTCAAAATTTTGATGTTTCACACCAACAGTTCTTGGTGTGTGGTGCGCCATGCACTCGCCCTCCTTCTGAATTTTGAAGTTACGAAGGTAATGAAAAGTCTGTCGAGCCTGAATTACGTATGGATCTGCCGAATGGATAGTTGACGCTGTGTTCGACAGTCTGTTTGAAACGTGATCATGCTTATAATGTTCTTGGTACACTTGGCTTTGAAAGCCTCTTCAGGTTACCATAGCAGCTGTGCTATGATGAAAAGCGCACGTATCTGACCCATGAGATCCGGATTCGGGTCAGTGATATGGGCAAAACGTCTTGCTGCTGTCGCTCCCAGCTTGAGGGCAGGGTGTGTTTTGCCCATAGTCAAGTGTTTTAGGTTAAGTTCTATTATGGGATTACAAAAGAACGAGCATCGTTCACTCGGTTGGTAAAGATTTGTACTAGGAATCGGACGGGTGGAAACTTCAGTTCGAGGATCTTTGAGCTTAAACCCTATGATATGGATAATAGATGAACAACTCATTTCAAGTGCAGTTTTGATAGGACCGATGTAGTCCCTTCATCACGCATATCCTTCCCACATCCTAATTTATGCCAGGGTGATCGTCACCTGAGTGCGCGTACACCTTTACGCCTGGGAAAGGTTGTCCATACGCCAGTTCAGGACCATCTCTTTAGACCACAGCAGGCCGAAATCCGAAATAACCTTAGATGAACTTCCATACTACACCGGTTCTTATCAGGAGTTAATTACAAGTGAAATCGGCCACGTGCCAGGAGAACTTTTATCCTTACAAGGGAGGTCGTGCAGGATTATTGGGTTACCAATGAATTTTGAAACTGTTTTTGGGCATCGATATGGGGCAAAGGAGATCGTTCAGAGGTGAGAACGAAAGTAGCAGGGGCACATGCGGGAACCACAGAACCATGGTTAATTTTTCCTGAACGGCCCTCTGAATACCAGAAAAGGGGTCCCTAGTTCGATTCCTCGTGGTGACAAATTTTTGCATTTCGAGTTGACGTGGTTACTGACGGTCCTAATTATGAATATGACATTCATTATTCATGCTAACTCCATTTTGCGCGAATTTTGAAACGTCAACTCGAAATGCAAAAATTTGTCACCACGAGGAATCGAACTAGGGACCCCTTTTCTGGTATTCAGAGGGCCGTTCAGGAAAAATTAACCATGGTTCTGTGGTTCCCGCATGTGCCCCTATGCAAAAGACCGTTTTCAAAAAGCTTGGCACGCCCTGAAAGACCTTCCTGGTAAGCAATGAACAATCAAGGGATAAAAGGAAAATTTCAAAAATGCCATTACCGTTACCGTTACCGTTTACCGCGAGGCTTTCAGCCTCGCGGTCATTGCCGATATCGGCTAACCGGCTCAACACGTTATACGTGTGAGTGCTGACAAGCTATGGTACGTATACCATGAAAAGCTGAGTTGGAATGAAATGGTGCCCCGGTAGCGTAACTGGTAGCGCACTTGCCCGGAAAGCGAGAGGTGCGGGTTCTAGTCCCGTCCTGGGGCGAAAGTTTTGTTCACAACCCAGCATTCTTGTG